GGGGGGGGGGGGGGATGACGACGACACAGGGCGAGGTCGGATTGCGTTGTGCAAGACCATGAACAGCCGTACGCGGTGTTGGAGGCTATGGGGGATGTCTATACATATAAAAAAAAAAAAAATGCAAAAGACAAAGCTTTGTAGGCCTAGCGGTCCCTTTTCAAAATGGGCTGTGGAGAGGTCATGAAAAGACGATAAAAAGCGGGCACAACAAGCGAGTGAGTGGGAGCACTCAGCGAGGTGGTCCAAGGAGTGGCGTCGTCCGCAACGGCCGGGGCGTTCTATCGCAGCACCTCAAGAGACACAAGGCGGGCATCACGAACATGCCTTCGAGGGGGCAGGGGGTGAAGGAAACCGGGTCCGCAGAAAACAAAAACGTGCAACATCCCACTTCAAGCCCCCGCGTGGAAGCATCACCCCGCGCGAAAAAAAAAAGAAGAAAAATCATATCACGAGCACGCGCGAGAGAGCATGGAATCTACGGCCACTTCGAACGAGGCAGACAAGCGAAGATCCTCTCAACGCCCCGAACAAAATCTGATCGACCCCCACAACGGTTAAGCCCTGCTGCGTCGGGTTTGTGGAAGAGACGGCTACGTACATCGGCGACAGTCAACGCTACCGAGCAAGAGAAAGGGCATCGCTCGTTGCGACATGTAGGCGGTCTTAAGAGACACCAAAACAACAGCAGCATTAATGTCGACACAAAAGCCGCCACCGCCGACAGCGAGCTGTTTTCCCGCCACGGGCAGTGCATGACGTCATGGCCCACCCGAACGTCATACAAAGACGCAGCGCGTGTGCCTTTCCACCCCCCCAAGAACAATTCTAGAATTTTGGTATGACGAACAAACCTCCTAATATCAATAGCCGGAACGGCTAAGCTGTGCGGGGGATCGTCGAATCCCCTTTTTCGTCACCACCTAATATCAGCGCAAAAAATGAGTAGGTGCCTACGACGACACAGCTTGCTGGTGCGGGTGTTGGTACGCTTGACATCAAAACGGTTCCCATGTCTGCTCAGTGCAGTCGAACACCCGTATTGGTCCACAGCTACGAGACACCCAAGAAGGGCGGTACATTCCTGGAACCCTGGTGCAAACTACGAGAGACTCAGAACAATTGAAGAGGCACATGAAAAAAAGAAGACTCGCCTGGCAGGGCCCCCCTGCTGTGGTGACGTTAGCATAAAGCAGCATGCTCCGGCACTCGATGAACACCGCTTGGAGAAATAACTCCAACCGCTGATCACCGAGGTCGCCATAACGCAGTTCCCTCTCCGTCCATTTCGCGTCACCCTGCCCACTGCCTGCGAACAGCAAGTCTTTGTAGTTCGAGGCAAGGAGATGGGCACAGACGTGAGACTAGTGGGGGGTGGGGGGGGGTCCGTTGTGTCCAACACTTCCCCGAGATAGTGTCCTTTGAAATAAGGCACACAAATCACTTGACATTGTCCCTGTTTCGTCGGGTGCCAACCGATGGAAAGGCTGTTCGATGTACAGCAGCTTCACGTGCCCAAATAGTACGAGTCATCGCACACGCCGCAGAGCCCACGTCCGTAGGCGTAGGTCGATTGCCCCGTCAACCAAACGGTTTCCAAGGCCGGAAACGTTGGAGCAAGAATACGGTCGTAAAGCACCATCATTGGGAGTCCTTGCACAACCCCGACACCGACTCTCAGAGCTCGATTGCTCCACTGCCAAAGAGGTCAAATAGGGCGTCAACGCCGAAGAGGATGGCTTGTGGAAAGTATCTCGCCAAGACTTTCTCCCAAAGAAAAAAAAATCGACCATATCCCAACACGACCCCCCTGCACCCTCTTCTTAATGCTCACGTTCTTCGTCATCCTGCAGACTTGGGGGGTCCCGTGGCTGCAGGGGGGCCGGCATCGGCGGGGGGTCGTGCCATCCCCCGCCTCCTCCTTTTAGCGTGACGTTCTGCATCGCTAGCGCCATCGACACCCCGGGAGGGCCGCGCACCGAGAGGGACCCCGTATCGACGTTCCGGGCGGCGTCTAGGGTGCCGAAGCGGACGATCGCCCACTTTCGGTTCATCTTCATCCTGTCCCTCCAACACACACAAAAGACGCAGAGAGACAGACAGACAGAGAGAGAGAGAGAGAGAGAGAGAGAGAGAGAGAGAGAGAGAGAGAGAGAGAG